AAAAACCCCTCTCAGTTAGTGTGTTTTTCCTGAGGTGGAAAAAGAGTGCATCGTGTATTTGTACAAAGTTTAACTGAAGTAAAATTTGAGGTGGGTAGCGTTCCAAGTTCGTGGAACGGGCTTCCCGCTGAGCTCCTCTAGCCGGTAGGCTCCGTTTTCCAGGTTTTCTGCGACTCGGAATGGGCCGCCCCAAGTGGGTGCGAGCTTCCCGTCCGACGTGTCCTTTCGTGCTTCTCCGAGTAGCCGCCATACCAGGTCGCCTTCCCGGAAAGACCGGGGTTTCACCCGGGAGTTGTATCTCCGGGCGGCCCGGAGTTTGCAAGCTTCTGCGTGGATTTGGGCTTCGTCTCGGAGCTCGTCTAGCAGGTCGAGGTCTGTTGCTAGCTCGTGGTTATTTTGTTCATTGTTGAAGACTTGGCGTCGGTGGGATGTTTGTCCGACCTCTACCGGGATCATTGCGTCGGCTCCATAAGTTAGTCGGTAAGGTGTTTCTTGCGTGGTTGACTGTGGGGTGCAGTGGTATGCCCAGAGGATGCCGGGAAGCATGTCGGGCCACTCCCCTTTTGCGTTCCCTAGCCGTTTCTTGAGTTCCCGGAGGATGACCTTATTGGCTGCTTCGGCCTGGCCGTTGGTTTGGGGGTGCTCCACCGAGGTCGGCAAGTGCTTAATTCCGAGTTCTTGGAGGAAGACTTCGAATTCTTCTGCGATGAACTGCCGCCCGTTGTCAGTGACAATAGTGTGGGGAATTCCGAATCTGCAAACGATGTTTTTCCATGTGAATTTTCGCACGTTTTCCGTGGTGATCTTGGCAAGTGGGCGCGCGTCGATCCACTTGGTGAAGTAGTCGATTGCCACCAGGAGGAACTTTAACTGACCCTTCGCGGGGGGGAAAGGCCCAAAGATGTCCATTCCCCACTGGGAGAAAGGCCATGCTTCCATCATGTGGTGAAGAGCCTCGGGGGGCTGTCGATGCGCGTTGCCAAACTGCTGGCACTCTTTGCATTTCTGGATGTAGTTTTGGCAATCTGACTTCAAGGTGGGCCAGTAGTACCCAGCCCGGAGTACCCTGGCTGCCATCGAGCGAGATCCGGAGTGCATTCCGCATACTCCGTGATGAATTTCCTTGACAACATAGTCTGCTTGAGATATGGTCAAACATTTGAGTAGTGGGATGTAAATTTCGCGTTTGAATAATTCACTGTCGATGATGGTGAACTTTGTTGATCGCATTCTCACCTTCCTTGCCTCATCCTTATCTGTAGGCAGGGCTCCATCTTTTAGGTAGTTCCATATGTCTGTCA